CAAAGAGAGGTAGGAAATGAGTTTATTTCTAGAAATAAAATCATTTCCTACCTCTCTTTATGCTGATAATCAAACTGTTTGTTCTCCTTTTTCCCCCAAATTGGAATCGAAAAAAGAATCGATAAAGAATCGAATCGTTTCATAGAATCGAAAAGGGAATCGGAATCGTGAAAATCTTTTCAATTCCCAACCCTACTCTGCGAGGTGGTGTTTTTTTAATGCGAGTGAGAGCGAGCAGGCAATACAATAATTCATGCATCATGTGCGGATTAGAACTACTGCGATTGTGCAGACAACAAGAGAGTGCGGGGTGTGTGGAGGAGGTTGCTGGTGAAACCTCAGCAGCGTATCTGTCCAAAGCGATGCTCTGATCAGAGAGCTGATTGGATCAGTCAGAAAAACAAGCCAATAAGTTTCAGTTTACTCTTTTACAGTCACCTCAATTTACAGCAGAAAGTCTAACCCTAACCCATGTCTAGTGAAGGTGAAGAATGATGAAGTGCATGTATGGGGTACGGTGCGGCCAGGGGCGTCAGCTGACTCAGTACTATACAGGGGCACAATAGGGCACCAAATAAAATGCGAGCGCACAGAGCACCTGAGCAAAAAAAAAAAAAATTGGGGCAATTATTTATTTTATAAAAACATGGGCACAGATAATTAAAGCAAGCATGCAAGCAAATATTTTATGGCACTTATTTATCATTATAAAGCATCATAAATAAGATTGTACAATAAGATTGTTATTTTCTGCATCAGGAAATATCTACCTGAAGCAAACTGAATTGAATTCCCTGTTTTTCTCTAATCCACTACTGATGAAGGCACAATTGATCTTCATTAAGCATCTCCCTGAAATGAGTTTTTGGAACTTGGGATGTCTGCGGTTGTAGTGGAGGCGACGGCGAACCGAGCAGTGAACATGATGTCAGTGCGGCTGAGGAGAGACATGGCGAGAGAGATGAGAGCAGAGAGCAGGAGGAAATAGATTACTTTGCCCGTCCTGATCCTTGTCTTTTACAAAGCTTTTTGAATCACCACCCACAACAAAGAACAAAAAATCCAGTTGTGCAAAAGGTATTCACCACTAAAAATGCAACCAACAGGAGGTGGCTCACATATTTAGTTTTGCATGTATTGCATTTGGAAAGACTACTGACACAAGCTCATTTATTACTGGGATGTCTGATTGGAGGCATGTGCACCAGC